TGAAAACATGTCTACTCGGTCATCCTCCCAGATGTCTCCCTGACGTCTGGTCGGTCAACTGGCCGATTGACCAGAACTGTGTTCGGATTTTTTTTTTTTGGCACATGTTATGTTTATGCTTCAAATAGAAAATATTTTCGGAATTTTTTTAGAATTTTTTATGACATTTGAATAGAATTTTGGATTGTGTGCATGGTTATGAGTTGTAAGTTTTTGAATCAAATATCATATGTCACATCAAAAAATTCAAATTCAATTCAAAACTCTTTTTAAAATTCATAATTAAACAAATTTTTCATACTCAAATCATAATTCCAAAACTCACAAACTCAAAATATAACTCTATTATCAAATCATAATTCTAAAATTTTACCAAATGCTACCTAAGTTTTTGGAACCATGTTTGATTTGTTGTTTAGAAAAAAAAATTCGGAATTTAAAAAATAAAAATAAAAACTAATTTAATAAAAATAAATAAGAAAATATATTCAATTTGTAAAAATTATTTCTAACTACACAAAAGATAAAATTATATAAAATAGTTAATATTTTTTATTTTTTATATCTCAACCAAATTAGTTTTTAATTTTTTTAAAAAAAATTAAAAATAAATTTTTAAAAATCAAACCAAACATATTCTAAGAATTTTTTGACAAGCAATTTCTTGTATTTTTAACTTATTTAATTATTTGTTAATTTTATGATATTTTCATCATCTGACATTACAACATATAAGAGTTTTAGAGACCAATTTTTTTGATTTCTAAAAGTGAAAAATTTATTGCGAAAGACATTTAGGGACTGATTTTTATCGTCGTGAGGATAGTCGTTAAAAAGTCGCACTGAAAAGTAAAAAATAAGGCTTTTAGTGATAAAATTTTGAAAATGTCAATAATAAATAGACTTTTAGGGACAAAATAATTTGGCCTCAAAATGGCACTACAACAAAAACATACTTTAGTGGCACTACACTAGTGGCATATTTTTAGAAAATGCCACAAAAAATGATATTTAGTGGCACGTTTTTGAAAAATGCCACAAAACGACAAACATAAAAGGCACTAGTGACATTTCAATGAACAAGTGTCACAAAACTACAACAAAAACATACTTTAGTGGCACTACACTAGTGGCATATTTTTAGAACATGCCACAAAAATGATATTTAGTGGCACGTTTTTGAAAAATGCCACAACACGACAAACATAAAAAGCTCTAGTGACATTTCAATGAACAAGTGTCACAAAACTACAACAAAAACATACTTTAGTGGCACTACAATAGTGGTATATTTTTAGAAAATGACACAAAAATGATATTTAGTGGCACGTTTTTAAAAAAATGCCACAAAACGACAAACATAAAAGGCTCTAGTGACATTTCAATGAACAAGTGTCACAAAACTACAACAAAAACATACTTTAGTGGCACTACAATAGTGGCATATTTTTAGAAAATGCCACAAAAAATGATATTTAGTGGCACATTTTTGAAAAATGCCACAAAACGACAAACATAAAAGGCTCTAGTGACATTTCAATGAACAAGTGTCACAAAACTACAACAAAAACATACTTTAGTGGCACTACAATAGTGGCATATTTTTAGAAAATGCCACAAAAAATGATATTTAGTGGCACATTTTTGAAAAATGCCACAAAACGACAAACATAAAAGGCTCTAGTGACATTTCAATGAACAAGTGTCACAAAACTACAACAAAAACATACTTTAGTGGCACTACAATAGTGGCATATTTTTAGAAAATGCCACAAAAAATGATATTTAGTGGCACATTTTTGAAAAATGCCACAAAAAAACAAACATAAAAGGTGGCTTGGGAATATGAACACCATCAATGGTAAATATAGGTTCACTCCATCCATAGATAATGAAATGCCAAACTTTCTCATCAATAGATTTTAAAAACGCCCTCATACGAGCTTTCCAATATGAATAGTTTGTTCCTTCAAGTAAAGGAGGTCTATGGGTTGAGTTACCTTCGCAAATCGAATCCATTAACACAAATCACACAAAATCACACTCCTATAGTTTTTATAAAAAAAAAGAACGAGTGACTCGCTTTGATACCGATTGAAAAACTTAAGTGATTCGTGATTTGAAATAGATTGAATTGCAACAATTCCCAAACAAACAAAGCTAACACTTTAAACCATTTAGCACGTACGAAAGTGATTTAGATTGTTGTTTCACTATTAATAAATCAACACAAACGATTTTAACATGAAAAAAATCACAATTAGAGCACCTCTAATTGTGATAAAAAAAATCACAGGGCGAAACGCCACTAATCAATCTACTATGAAGATAATGAAAATACATAAGATTACCAACAATTAGTCAACACGCTGAAGAATTGTCTTCCACCACTTGTGCCTCTTTCACCAATGACTTCGTCTCAGAATTGATTAGCCTGATCTTGAATCCACAACACCCACGTCAAGTCCCTTTGAGTTTGACAGTTTGAACTCCTTCAAAGCCTTTATGCTCAAACCTTCGGAATCCACCGATCAAACTCTCTTTGATTATAAGAATGAAACAAACCCCCTTGATGTGATCAACTTAACTCATTTGATGTGATCAATCTCACAAAGACATCAAGGGAAACAAGGAAAAAGACTCGAAAAACAAGAACAAAATCTTAGGATTTAGATTTGGACGTCATAACTATAAAACCAGTCATTTACATAGCTTTATAGGGAACATGATCACGATAACTGCTCGAGTGAAAGAATGGTTGCTCGAGCGGTGTGTCTTGTATGTGGAGAAACCATAAGTGGCTTCGCTTGAGCGATGAAAAGTTTGCTTGAGTGTAAAATCAAACATCCAGGTATTTTTGCAGGCATGGCTGAACTACTGAGAGACAAGATTCTTCGCTTGAGCCACTAATGTTGCGTTCTATCGGTCCAAGCAAAAACTAGACACTGAAATACAATTTAAATATGTTTGTTCGCGGAATTGACAACACAAAGGGACCTAACAAAGTTGCACCAAACAACCATGCTATTTCTTTCTTAGCCCCACCGTTCCTTTCAATTCCTTTTTTAGTCCGTAACTTGCTTTCATAGCTCCTACCATCGCCTTCTTCCTTGAAACTTGAGACTCTCTCTTGGAGGTTGGGGCGAGCTTGGGCCATCACTCTATAAGTTGTGATGGTGGGGT